TGACAACACAGTTTTGTAACAGCTCTTCTCTAATAACGCTAGATCTTAGTGACAACCAGCTAAGTGGTAACATCCCAGATTACATCAATATGCTTGGTGAGTTGAGTTATCTTATCTTGAAGAACAATAATTTTGAAGGTAAGATCCCAATTCAATTATGCAAGTTGCAGAAATTGAGCTTGATTGATCTATCTCAGAACCACCTTTCTGGCCATATACCCTCTTGCCTAAATATTACTACTTTTGATGAGGCAAACAAAGTTGATCTATTTATTCCTTCAGCTTCTGCTGCATCTTCTCCTCCTGCTCCTCCTGTTGCGTATTCTCCTCTTGCTCCTCCTGTTGCATCTTCTCCTTATCCTTCTCCTCATGCTGAATCTCCTTCGCAAACTGGTTCTAAAGATGATGAACCAGTGTATTTCACAACAAAGAATGTGATGTATTGTTATAAGGGAAGACTTCTCACCTACATGTCTGGAATAGACTTGTCCTGCAACAAACTGACCGATGAAATTCCTCATGAAATCGGGCACCTCAATAAGATTCATGTGCTAAACTTGTCTCATAATTTCTTTGTTGGTCAAATTCCATCTACATTTTCTAAGCTTGACCAAATCGAGAGCTTGGATCTTTCCTACAACAAATTGAGTGGGAATATTCCTCCACAACTTGTTCAACTGCATTACTTATCTATCTTTAGGGTGGCATACAACAATCTATCAGGCAAGACACCAAAAAGGGTCGGACAATTTGGAACATTTGATGAAAGTAGTTATCAGGGTAATCCTCTGCTTTGTGGGGAACCAATGAAAAGTTGCCCAGCAGCAAGTCCACCAACATTGATCCAGGAAGGCCTAACCCAGGGTAGAGAAGATGATGGTTTCATCGATATGGGTGTCTTTTATGTGAGTTTAGTTGTGTCTTACATAATGGTGCTCATAACTATTGCTGCAGTTCTCTACATAAATCCTTATTGGAGACGGGCATGGTTCTATTACACTGAGATGTGCTTTATTTCTAGCTACTATTTTATAGTAGATCATCTACCCAAGCAATTTCATTAGAGAATGTAGCCATATTATAGATGTCATTTCTAAATATGTTCTTTCTTATTGTTTCCTGTTCGGAATTGCAATGAAAAGTCATACATATATGCTCTTTCAAGTAAAACTAGCAAGCAGAGTCTGGGACCTAATTTGACATGAGTCAAGTCGCGGGGAGTATTGATTGGAGTAACGACCTATTCCTATTGGGCAATTGAAGATAATACTTGATTGGAGTAATAACAAGAACTAATTAACTTGGTTGGAGTGATAATTATTACTTGGTTAAAACATAAAAAGAAGATAAATTTGAAAGATAAAATTGAAAAACTTACTAAGAAGTTAGGAATGCATATTTCTTTAGAATGTTAAGTTTATGGGATTTTCTATCCTATACTCTTAGAGTAAAAGATAATGATGCAATAAATGTATCTTTTTATAATTAATATATATAAAAAATAATAAAAGTTAATTTAAATTTAATTAATTAACTAATTAAAATTATCCACGTGATAATAATATTAAAATAAAAATTAACTTTTATTAATTTTTGTGTAAATTAATCGTAAAATGATATATTTATTACACCTTAACCTATGCTTTTAAAACATAGATTAGACAAACCCTAAGTTTATTTTAGATTAGGAAAAAATGAAAAATATATATATAATACGTATTCCCTAAAAGGAAGTGATAAACTGATCATATATATTCCTTAATCATCCACTAATATAATTGAAAATAATTAATCTTAAGAAATATATATATATATATCTAATGGTAAATAATCAATCTAAAAAGACTAAAAGGTTAGGTTTACGTTTAAGTTTTGGAGCCATCAATCAATAAAATTTATTTTCTTTAAATGTATGGTGTCAATGTAAGGGTACGTTATTAAGATTACCGTGATTGCAAGCAGTGCCGAAAACACTTTCATAGGTGGAAATAGCCCACAAAGAAATCTCAAATAGACGTGAAGATGGGGAAATGAGAGGAAACATTTATTCACAATTAAATTATATAAATTGGGAAAATTTTACATCAAGCAAATAGCAAAAAAGCATCTAAGTTAAAAGCGCTTGTCTAACATGTTTTCTAAAACTGCATTAATTACATTTTTTACATATAATTTGTATAGAAAATGACAAAGGTTAACTTTATTTTTATTACCAAT